GCGCTTAACCTCACGGCCACCGCAGACGCCCGTGTGCGGAGGGCGACTATCCGCCTGCCGCGCATTGGCAAGCTCCCGTCGCCGATGCTAATAAAGGCGCGGCACGTCCGATCCCTGGCCGCCAGCGTCTGCACCACGGGCACCGACATCCAAGCACCATCAGGCCCAGCCAAGACTGCCTACAACCACGCCCTCAAGGCGGCTATCCGCCCCAAGGGGAACAAGTGGGTCGAGTTCTGGACTCTCATGGCCGTGTGCGTGCCGGGACACGCCCTTGAGATCGACGCCATCACGCAGCGTGAAGCATTCCTGTGCCTGCGGCGGCAGGTTAACCGCGACGCCACACTCTGCGGGCTCGCCAGAGACCTCCATCACCACGTCCAGACCCTGTTTGGTGGAGGACCCGTCGGGCGACTCGTCCAGTCACTCCAGCAGCTCCGATGGACCTGGCCCACATTTGGCATCATGTACGATGACTGGGGCTGCCCGATCAGCTGGCTGAATCTACCCCAAAACGCCTTCCTGCACATGCTGCGGGCCTCACAACGCAGGGCATTTCTGCGGAAGATCAAGCCACGGCGACACGACCTTGGCTACCTCGCCTCGGTCAGACAGGGCCTTGACCTCTTCGCCAGCACGTGGCTCGCGCGAACCAAAGGAGCAGCCAAATGCACTGCCTGGCAGCTGGCGCTCCTCCTGAACTACCTGTCGGGCGGGGACCACACCCAACAGCGACGATCCCGATCCAACACGTCGGCAGACCCCAGCCCCATGTGCCGCTACTGCGACGAGGAAGAGGAAACTCAGGAGCACACTGTCCGCGACTGTAAGTGCTGGGCCCGAGAAAGAGTTCCTCTCACCACCCTCATCAGTGACGACCAGTGGGCCCGTCTTCCGCCGCACACAAGACACTGCGGGCTCTTCGACGAAGACCCAGCCCTCCTCGACCTGCAGGCCGACCTCGCGAGGGACCCGCTGCCACAGCCCATCCCGCGGCCCCCCCCTGAGGGTGATCCTGCGGCTTCAGCCCAGGACACCTACACCACCTACCTTGACAACGACACTGGATGGACATGGGTCTATGCTGCCACGGACGGTGCGTGCACCAACCAAGCCATCCCACTCCTAGCACGAGCGGGCTACGGCGTCTACTACGGCATCGACCACCGCATGAACTACAGTGCACGCGTTCACGGCCTAACGCAGAACGCCCAGGTTGCGGAGACCCTTGCCATCGTCCACCTTACGGCGTGTGCCGAACGGCCCGTGCACGTCTTCGTGGACAACCAGGCGGTGGTCGATGGGTTCCAAAGCATCATCGACGGACATCCAGCGCCGCAGGGCACGCACGCGGAGCTCTGGGCAATGATTCACCGATGTGTCATGGCCAAGCCCGACATGTTTCGCGTCGAAAAAGTCGCCAGCCACCTGGGAGACCTGGGCATCGACCTTGGGCTCATCGGGCCCATCGCGGAGGAGTTCAACCGTCAGGCCGACGCCCTTGCCACAGCGGCGGCACGCACGCACAACCTCCCCGACGACATCGTTGAAGCTGCCAAAACACGACATCGCCAAGCGACCGTGCTTCACGGGGTCGCTGTCGCCATCTACGAGCGCAGACACCGTACTCTGCCGCTCCCACACCGCAGGGCTGGGTTTACAGCGGCTGAACTCAGCAAAATGGAACCGAACCCCCTGCTGTCGGACCAGGCACCACCCGCGGCTGGACCAGACATCCCGCAGAACCCGGACGAGCTCTGGGCCGAGGCCCAACGTGCGATGTACGACGAACAGGAGGACGACCCGTTCGGCTTCGGCGGGGGACTAGACTTCCTGGACGACGGGCCAGCCAGCTCCAACCTTGCCCCGTCGGGCATCCGCACGATGCCCACCTCGACTCCGCCACCGAGAGCGGCACCGCACCCACATGATGACGTCGCTCACCTCCAAGACGCCGACGAGGACTTTTATGATCCCCTCGGATTGGGTGGCAGCATAGACGACGTCCCGCCGACACCCCACGCTGCCGACGATGCCGCTTCATCGAGTCGCCACCCGGTCACGCGGCCGACCTCTGAGCCCTCGCACGGCATCATGATTGTTCCCCCCGTGCCACCAACCCCTCCCCCCCACCAGCGCCAACCCGTGGGGGCGGCTTCAGCCCCCCCGCAGGGCACTGAGCCAGTTAGGCCGTCGCGCCCCGTCCACGCTCCTACCGTTGCAGGCTGCGAGGCTGCGGCTCCTCCGTCCTCAAGGGGCGTGGCCCCAGCGGCTTCAGCCCTGGGACCGCGCGACACCCTCCAGACGCCTCGCCACGGCGACGGCCGCCAGCGCACGGACCGCCGCACCGCGCTGGTCCACCACCTGGCCAGGCGCACCGATGACCTCGTCCCCGCCGCGAGGCCCGCGACCGCGGGCACAGAGCAGCCGCCCCGCACCGACCGCGAAGCCGAGCTGTCCCAGTCTACGGCCGCTCTCCAGCAGAGGTGCGCAGCTCTCGCCGCCGACCTTGCCGCTGCCCAAGCCCGTCAAGGCCCTTTGCTCCAGCGCCTCCACCGCGCCGGTCGTGCCTTCGCCGAGCTGCTTACACCCCCGTCCGATGGTGCTGCGCCGCCACTCACCCTCCATGCTATGCTGTCATCGCTCCGCGGCGCTCCGCCTGGAGCCCCGCGCTAATCTCCGCCTTTCTGCCTGCCCGTGTGCACGCGTGGCCCCGCGTCCACGGTGTCAGGGCGTGGGGGCGGGGGGTGCCCCGTCCCTGCGCGCCGCGCTGCGGCCAAGCGCCCAACTGGCGGCCTGCCAAGCCGCCTAGCCACGTGTCCGCACGTCGCCTTTCTTGTTGGGGCCTTCTTCGTCACGCGGTCTGACACGTGAGATCTTCACAGTCTGTCCGCCGTCCGTAGCTTCAGACGCAATGCGCCGGGGGAGGGGGTCTGTTGCCCGCCCTCGTATCTTAAGGCTGCACCGCCGCAAATAGTGTTTTGCGGGTTGTCGCACCGCAGTGCGCCTCGCGGACGGACCCTGGTCCGCCTACTTGTCCGGTCTCTCTCGCTCTCTCTCTCTCTCTCTCTCTCTCTCTCTCTCTCTCTCCTGCTCTCGCTCTCCCTCTCTCTCTATCTATCCCTGCTTAACTTTCCATTCGTCACAGCACTGATTCAAGCTCCTGCCCCCCCCCCAAAGAGGCAGAGGTATTCGGAGGGCTGTGGAGGCCCCTCGAGGCCCGCCCCCCAAAAAAAAGACATGCACGCAGACAGACGCACCCAGACAAACAAACCCAGACAAACACAGACAAACACAGACAAACACACACACACACACACACGGACACATACCTGCACACACGGACATGCACACACACAGCCCGTGCCACTTTCAAGACGTTTCGCCCCTCTGGTGGGCGATCGTCGTGCAGCGTTGATCGCGGACACGAGCCAGCAGGGCGGGCGACCCCCCCCGAGCCCCCCCCCCGCGCTTGGGCGAAACGGAGGGGGGGGGGGGGGGGGGCGCCGCGCGGCGCGCCGGAGGCGCGGGACGACGCGAGGCCGAGCGTTGGAGGCGCGCCCTCCCTCCCTCGTCCCTGCCCAGCGGCTGCACGACGGCGGGGGCGGCGGCGACCACCACCGCGACGAGGCCGACGGCGCCGACGCGACGGCGCCGACGCGACGGCGACGATCGGGTCGGAGCAAAGGGTGGGAACAGGGTCCCCCCCTCTCGCTCGAGACATCCCCAGTCTCCCGCTCGGGGAGGCATTGAGGGCCTCCTCGCTGGAGGTGGGCCCCCTGGTGGTGTTGGTATCACTTCTCTCCCCTCCGAAAAGGAGGGGGCAGCAGAAGGGGTCTGCGGATCAGCCCGCGTGACTGGCCTCCGCGGCGCCTCCGGGCGCCCGAGGCGCCAGTGTGTCGAGCAAAGGCGCTCGGTGGCGGGGCCGACAAAACAACTGCACGCGGCAGACGTCTCAATCCGCGAAGGTAACGCCAAATGGGAGACCGGCCCGGGTGGGGAAACGGAAAGCTGGAAGGGGCGGCACGTCTCCGATGATTCGGCGGTAGGCCCCCAAGGTAGGGGATCTTCGAGCTCCCGGGCGATGAGTGGGAGATCAATGGGCGATCGGGGGTCGATGCAGCCCCACCTGTGCCTATTCCACCCTGAACGGTGCCCATGACGTAAGGGATGACGATTCATAAAAAATGGGAGAGAACGATTAAAACATAGTTTTCTGCTATCTCTGCACAATTTTCCGACTGGACGAGACCGATTAAAAAAATAGTTTTCCAGCCCGCGGCCGATTTTTCCTAATCGTCATCCCGGGCGCCACCGCGTGAACACGACCCCCGGTCATTTATTCATCGTCATCCTCCATTAGCCACCCCTCTCGCGGTCCGTCCCGCCTGCAATCCTCCGGTATCTTTGTTTCCGTCTGCGGCCCCGAGGAGGTCCCGACGCTTTTCCTTCCTCGGGGGTGCATTTCCGCCCCAGAGGGCCCCGGGGCCCGATGACGGGTCCCAGACGCCGAACTCGAGGGGGCTCGCCTGGACTGGAAGACAAAAATAGATCGTAGGAGATTTGGGCCCCTTGCCTTCGGTCGGGCATGTCCTCTCACAGACGGATCCTAGGAAGAACCCCCAAACATGGTACACAACAGTCACAAATGGTCAGAAAGAACACGACACCTCGTCCCCAGACGATTTTCTACGACTCTCGAATCTGAATGCTCCTCCTGTAGACGGACGTGGAGGCCTGGAAATGGGCACCAACACCAACACGGGGGGGTGCCTTCCTAGATGATCCTGGATTCCGGCGTTGGTGGTAATATTTCGGCCACCTGGGAAACCAGAATATTGCCCCCATCGCCGAGATCGGGATCTTCTTCCCTCGGTGGAGGCACGCCGCCGATATTGGTGTTGGTGTCAACCTCTAGGCCTGCGAACCTGCCCGACTTCCCCCCTGCCCGCCACGAGACGTCGGCAGCGGCCACGAAGGAGCGGCGGCCACGCAGCGGCCTGCTGGGGGCCGTCGGGCCGGAACTCGCCCCGGGCAGTGGCCCAGCCGCGCGCGAGGGAGCCCCTCGGGGCGGCAAAGGGCCCCTGCACCTGCGTCGGGGGCGGCGAGGGCGGGTCCTCCTCGCCGGCTTCCTCTTGATCCTCCTCCGCCTCCGCCTCCGCCTCCTCCTCCTCCTCCTCCTCCTCCTCCTCCTCCGCGTTCGGCCGACGAGGGCCTTGGACGCCCTTTGGGTTTCCCCAGATCGAAAAGAAACGGATTCTGGGGCAGGAGGGAGGAGGGAGGAGGAGGGAGGAGGGAGGAGGGAGGGAGGGAGGAAGGAGGAGGGAGGAGGGAGGGGGGAGGGAGGAGGGTCCCGGACCCTGGGGCTCCGGCTGTGAGCCCCGAGCCTTTTTTTGGACGATCCCAGGGCCCCGACCAAGGCCGGGCTAATGTTAAGTCGGGCATGTCCCCCATACAGGCAATTTTTGGGCGACAAATGAAACATAGTCGAACAGATTCCAAAGTTGGTGAAAAAAATGAAGATCGTCCCCAGATTTGTTTTAAACTATTTTTGGATGTCCCTCCTGTAGGGGGACGTGCCCGACTTCAGGCTAACGGCGATGTTGCTTCACGGTGATGCTGGGTACCAAACTGTAGGAAAGCGCGAGCCACGCGTTTCCCCATCACCGAAACCGACATCGCCGTTACCTGCATCGCCGTGAGCCCGTCGAGGCCCCGAGCGGGCCCAACGTCTGGATCACATCGGGCACGCAGCTGTCCTGCGGACCCTCCGGCAAATTCACCGCCTGCCTTCGCAGACCCTTCGTCGCACAAAGGTCATTAGGTTCCCCTCGCCGGAACAGCACCAGAAGGCCCCGAGAGCCCGAGCATGGGCCCAACCTTCCAGGGCCCGCTCGCCCCAGGACCCGTCCCCGTCATGGCGACACGGGCACCCGCGGCACCGGCGGGGAGGGAGGAGAGGACACCCTCTTCCTCGGCAGTCCCTGGCGGCAGGCCCAGCGGATCCTTCTCCGCAGCAGTCCCTGACGGCCGGAGCAGTGCCATCTGTCTCGCTGCTGCGGGCGATACGGGTGCCGCTGCCCTGGACGCCGCCGTCCTGCTCCCGAGCACGTGCCAGGACCGGGCTGGGCGAAAGGGGGGGATAGCGAAGGGGGGGGGGGAGAATCAGCTCACGTAGCGAGGCGCCGGAAGGCGTCCATGCATCGAGGACTGGGCCCGGCGGCGGGGCCGAAACCAGCTGCACGCAGCAGATTTCGTAAACCTCCCCTTTCCCTGTCCCCGCCTCTCGTTCGGCCCGACAGGAGCGCTGGCATGCCTGACGTCTGCCGCCGGGCCCCTGGCCCTCTGGCGGGGCCTGGCTGGCCTCGGGGTGCGGCGGAGGCGTGGCCGCTCCGCGCCGAGAAGACCGGCTTCAACGAGCACCCTCTTCACGATGCAGTAGGGGGCTCGGCCACAAGCAACCTGCCACAAGAAACCCAACCCTGAGGCCCCAGAACGTCCATTGATGTTCTGCGTGGGAACATCACCTTGTCCATACCAAAACCATCGACATCTGGGAAACCCAGGGCACCCTGGAGGCAAGCAGGGTGTTTCTTGGCATGGGCCCCCACTGTAATGGGTACGCAGCCTATCATATATGTGACGAGGGGTCGTCGGGGCTCCCAGAATCCTACGCAATGGGCAATCCCTGCCAAGAAAAATGATACCGGAGGAAAAACCCAATTGACAATCTTTTTAGGGCTATGGGCTATGGGGCTATGGGGCTATAGGGCTACAAGGCTCTGGGGCTATAAGACTATAGGGCTATCGGGCTACAGGCCTATAGGGCTATAAGGCGATAGTGCGAAAGGGCTATAGGACTATAGAGCTACAAGGCTATTATGGCATTATGGCTAAGGGCTATAAGGCTATCAAGCTATAGAACTAAAGGGCTATAGGGCTACCGGGCACCCAGGCGTGCTGCCGAAATCGGCGCCACTGCTAACCTAACCATATGAATCCGCTGGGACCCGTACAGAGACAAGCTCTGAGTGGGGAGTAAACAGCACGATGTGTAAGCTCTGCACGTGGTGCAACACATGATTTCGATTCAACGTCATGTTCAATTACACGCGTGTGGGCCAAAGTATGGCCCTTTCTGAAATCGAACACTCCCTGCCAGGTTTTACTTGGCCCAGCCCATCCAATCATGGGCCTGTTCTCAGGATCCTCCTTCGGGGCCAGCCATCTACGACAACGCGCTCTGCCTTCCTCCAGGGCTTCCCTCCCAATGGTGCCACTGGACTTCAAGAAACGGCCCTCTTTGACCGTAATTTTGGTCTCGACTTAAGCTCCACTGTCAGAGTCTAGATGCTGCCACGATCAAGCAGAGAAAGCTGAGGATGGAGAGACAAGGAATACTTGGCAAGGGAGTCCGCGTTCCAATTACCTATCGCAAGTCTCCTCTCCTCAGCGGCAAGAGTGTCGATGGCCTCCCGAGACATGTGAGCTGGGGTGTGCTGCGCAATAGTATCGTGACCACGCTTCTCGTGCAGTATCGCACCTCTCCCCATGCCAGCATATCTGTGCGTGCGGGCGGTTTGGTTCTACTCGCTAGTCTGGCACAGCTTGACCACAGCCACGCAGTCCGAAAAACGCATGCCCGAAGATTCGGCAACAAAAAAACAAGCAGGACATCGCTTGGTGCTCAGCCACCTGCGGCGTTTGAGGCAACCCATTCCGCACAGCTCCTACAGCGTAGTCAGTCATATCCGCAGAGATGTCAGCAACAAAAGCACCCTGGTGTACGAGGCGCGGCTGAGTTCGCGCGTTTCATGGCGCACGCAGGATCCATATGCACACATCGAAACCCTTGAGACCGATGGAGTCCAACCCATGCGCCTCCCCCTGGGCATAGAACAGGGCGGAATTGGGATCATCCGAAGGGGGGGGGTGCAAATCTTCAGGGTGCTCGCGCTGAAGCTCGCCCCGCCAAAAAAACGTTCCTTGCCAGTGATGGCCCCCTGCAGCTGAACCGGCAGGTCGCCGACAGCTTCTCGGCGCGCGCAGCGCATGCGCAGTGCTGTAGGACTGGCCGCACCAGAGACACGTGCCATCGCTATGAGATTCAACAGCCCTCGCGCGAGCACGGGTCCAGGAACCCCCACACGAAGGTGGTAATAGCCATGTATTTCTCCCTGGGAGGCAAACCGTTGGCCCTGGGTCCCAAAGTCTTCAGGAGAGGGTCGATGGTGGCTCGCTGACCCGACAGAATCACAGCGTGCTTGGTCAGGTTGCACCCGGAACTATGCTGAGCGGCGAGGCTAAGAAGGTGCACCACCAAGTTGGGTGAATTCGAACCTAAGTTGGCTGCACGTCCGTACTCATCCTGCCACGTGGGAGCGGACGTCGCATGCCAGCCCACCTGATGCAGACACAGATGCGTTCTCTGGATGGGCCCACGCGAGCTATTCTAAGTAACCCCTTCGTTGAACGGGACGGGGGATCACACCTGCCAGCAGATGCCTGAACGTTGTAGTAAGAGACGCCGTGAGAAGAGTGAGGGCGGTCCAAACGATGTGCCTAATGCAGGGTAGGGGTGAAGCTGGCCCTGGCAACAACGCCACCCGAGACAACCAGCACAGCCGTGAGGGAGCAACCTTTGTGATGCGGTGGCCTTTGCGATGACAACAGCCACCTGGCCTGCGTGAGCTCGCTGTCCCCACTGCCAACAACCCATGTGTCCCTTCTGGCGGGGAAGGCGATGCCTATACTTTCGAGGGGCCGTGCGTCTCTTATGCATCTGGTCAAACTCTTTCCTGCGCTTCCAAAAAGCTCGCCTGGACGACCTCCTTTGATCAGGAACGAAATCCGTGCCTAAACCAACCGTAGAAACCTGGCCGGCCATCTTGCCTGACAGGGGGCCGAGCTTCCGGGCGAGGCTCAGGGCACGCCCGAACGTGATCAACTCATCGGCCTGGCGTCCGACTTTAGAGTCGCCCCGAAAAATCGAAGACATGCCGGCACAAGCTGGGACCGTCTGAGACAAGGCAACTTCCTCAGTCTCAGCTTCGGTGGTCAAAACGTCATCGTCTACATCGGATGAGAGGAAGGCGCTGGGATTCTCAGCAGTGTATCTGACGAGCGACTCGAAAGATGTCTCCAGCTGGCAGGCCACAGGTCGTAGCATACGGTATTGTGCCGTACATACTGCCCATCCTGAGGATGCGAGGGCCTCTCCAAAAGATGTAGGCAAAGTCGAATCCAAACCTCAGAGCCCTATCTGTGAGGAGGTCCAGGCCAAAGCTCTCGTAGTAACTCGTGCCGTCCCACATGACTCCCAGGGGAACCTTACCAGAGTGAGCAGAAATCTCAGATCGAACAGCTTAGTGCCACACGGCATCTTCAGCACTTCGGCCAGGACCTAAAGCCCAGAAACGTCTAGGATGCAACTCGTTGAACTCGGTCAGCATAGGCCCCCTGAGGCGATCCCTGACATGGCCGGGGCCCACAACAGAATGGGTCTCTGACCTCCTGCAGTTTTTCGCTACGAGAGGGGGCAACTTCCAGAACAGCTGTTTCGGAAACGAATCCCAAAGACTCGATAGCCTGGATGATGGCTCCGAAGACTCTAGGTCTTCGTGGGAAGCCAACGAGAGCTGCCTACGATGAAGGCCGTCCCAAGAGAAGGCGGAGGAGGAGGAGGGGCAGGAGAAAAGAAGGAGTGTCGCGGGGCGCTGCTGATTCAAATAGAGGACCCAGCACCACAGCATGATTGGGGGAAACAGCGAGAGGGCCTCGAGAGCCCAAGAGCGGGTCCAAACCTCCAGGGCGCGTCTGCCCCAGGACCCTCCCCTCATCGCAATTTACCGCGCGCGCGTACTTCATTCTCGAAACAAGCTTGCCCTATAGGAGTCCTAGCTCAAACCCTACTAATTGGTCCGAGACCTTGCCGGCAGAGGGGGGGGGGGGCTCGCCGGGCGGAGGCCTCCCGGCCCCGAGGCCCGCGGGCCGCAGCTGGCACCGCCGCGGGCGCCTCCTGTGGAGGGACAGGCTCCGCTTCACCCTAGGCAGGGACGCCGCCCCCCGAGACCTTGCCGGGGGAGGGGGGGGGCCCTCGAGGGCTCCCCAGGCGGAGGCCTCCCGGCCCCGAGGCCCGAGGGCCGCAGCTCGCACCGCCGCGGGCGCCTCCGCCCAGCGTCTCGGGCCGCGGGGCCCCGCCCTCGCGGACGCAGCGGCCTGGCCCCGGAGCTCTGGCCGCGGTGCTGCGCCCTGTGGCGCGCGCCCGGGCCTCGGCCGCCGGGCCTCGGGCCGGGCGCCCCCGGGGCCCAGAGGCCTCCGAAACAGGGCGGGCCTTCTGGGGAGGAGGAGGAGGAGGAGGAGGAGGAGGAGGAGGAGGAGGAGGAGGAGGAGGAGGAGGAGGAGGAGGAGGAGGAGGGGGAGGAGGAGGAGGAGGAGGAGGCGAGAGGAGGACCCGCGAGGCCCCGAGCGGCGCGCCGAGGAGGCCGTGGCGACGGGTGGGCCCGCGAGGGCGGCGCCTCGACGGCCAGGAACTGCTGGAAGTCCTCCTGGCTGGCCCGGCGGCACAGCCGCCGCAGGGACACCACCTCCTCCTCGTGGGCGCGGGGGGGCCCGGAGGACGCGGGCGCGGGGGGACACCACCTCCTCCTCGTGGGCGCGGGGGGACACCACCTCCTCCTCGTGGACACCACCTCCTCCTCGTGGGCGCGGGGCGACACCACCTCCTCCTCGTGGGCGCGTGTCTCCGAGACCTCCGGAGGACCGAAGTCTCCAAGCTCGGACAGTTTCCCAGTTCGGCCTCCGGGGCCGCTCCCGTGCCCCTGGACCAGGAAGGACGGATCCGCCGTGAAGCGCTGCCCCCCTGGGGAGACGTGGGTGGCCCCAAAGGGGGCCCAGCTGGAAGAGGGTGGTGCATTAGACTTGGGGCAATCGTATTGCAGATGTACTGCGCCAGTGATTTGTCTTGCCTTGCATTGCAACTAATGTATTGCACTTGCACCAGATCTATTGCACCACCCCCTTGTAGCTGGACCTCCTTTTGGGTCAACCAGGGTAAAAAAAAGGGGCAATAATTAAGTCGGTCGTGTCCCCTTACAGGCGGATTTTTTGAACGAGAACTGCAAAAGAGTCCAGAACATATTCCGAAATAGTCAAAATATATTCGAAACGTCGTCCCCATACTACTCTTTCACCATTTGTAAATTTTCCCCCTGTAGAGGGACAGGCCCGACGTGAGGCAAGACGTCGGGGGCTCTGCGGCCGCGGACTCTACGACGTCACCTCGGCAGAAGGCCCGGCGCGGGGTCCCGACAGGACGGGCGCTGCAGCCCGACGGCAAGGACCCCCTGGACGGGCCAGCAGGAGGCTCAAGACACGGCCCCCCTGCCGGGGCCCCTGCCAGAAACGCCGTGACGTTTTGAAGGCGCGGGTCCTGCTGGGATGACCGTGGGGGGTTCTACGTGGCTAGGGAGGCTACAAGTGGGTGCCGAGGGGGGTACTATCTGGCCCAACCTGGCTTATGAATGGGGTACTAGTGCCGCGAGTGGCTTATGGGGGGAGTCAGGGATCCGGGCGAAGTGGGCTCCGCCCACTTAGCGGAATGATCGAGCCCCCCTAAGTCACTCGGGGCCCTCGTAACCCACTTATAAGCCAGGTTGGGCCACACACACATATATATATATATATATATATATATATATATATATATATAATATACGCTCGCACACTCATGTAATATTCCTCTTCCTATATTTTTACAAGCCCGGGCGGCCGCAAAACCCCGCACCCCCCCCCCCAAACCGGACTCCTGGGATCCTGGGACTTTGGGACCCTCCGGACGCCCATTGAAGCGGTCCCGAGTGCCTCAAGAGCGCTCCAAGACAGGCACAAAGCGCTCCAAGACGCCAAAGATAGCCCCAAGACAGCCTCAGGAGCCCCCAAGACGCCCCAAGCGGCCCCAAAGAAGCCCCCCAAGACGGCCCCGGGAGGCCGAAATGGTCAATTTTCCAATGTGTTTTTCATGTTTTCTGCTTTCTCGCCATTTTAGCTTTCCGACGCTCCAAGACAGAACTAGAGGCCCTCAAGAGCGCCCCAAGATGGCCCGGGGGGCCCCAAAACGGCCCCAACACGGCCCCAAGACGGCTCTGGAGCGCCCCGAAACAGCCCAAGAGGCGCCCAAGAAGGCCCAAGAGGGCCCCGAGAAAGCTTCAAACGAGCCCCCACAGGGCGATCAAAAGTTCAAACATCTAACTTTCCGCCCAAAGTGGGCCCCAGGAGGCCCCAGGAGGGCCCCAAGAGGCCCCAAGAGGCTTCCAAAGGCCCCGAGGACTCCCAAAAAGAACCCACGAGGCCCCAAAATGGCTCTCCAAAAGGCAGCCAAAACGGCCCCCCAAGAGGCTTCCAAACTGCTGAATCGCCCCACTTGACCGCCACCTCCGGAACGGCTTCGCTGCGCTGCTCCGTTGTTTGCCAGACAGTGGCATCCCACGCAAAACACCAAAATGCTTGAAATCCCGGGTTCGCAACCAAATTCACGGGAAATCGGCTGCGAACCCGGGATTCGGCACATTTCCCCGGAATTCGGTATATGTCCTTAGCATTTCCAGGATCCGGTACGTTGCCTGCATGCTTGCTGCCCTATGCCCTATCGCATCCCAGAATAATCGTTCCATGGAGGTTTCACGAGGGCAGCCGCAGCCCCCTGGTCTGTTTCCATATGTGATCGCAAGGCATCTCCGTTTGTCTCACCCCCATGCGCAAGTCGAGACAGCACGCCGCCCCAATGCGTGCCTTACCTTACTTTACCTCATGATATTCCTCCCTTCGCCGCGCCTCCCCAAATCGTCCTCCACTTCTTTCCCGCCCCTTCTGTCCGACGTTTTGTATTTCCGGAGCCTCCACGGCCGCTCTCATCGCCGCTGATCGGTCCGCTGGGACATTCTCATGGAGTCCCAGTGGCGCGCGGACAAGCAAAGCGAGGGCGCGAGCAAGTAAGGTGCAGGTCCGGGAACTGGACGCGAACCAACCGCGGTTCCAAGACCGCGGAGGGCCGCGCTAGACGCCAACGCGCGCAAGGGTTGAAGGACCAAGGTGCATGGCGCGAAGCGCCAATGCAGTCTTGTATACATATATGTATATATCGAGAGAGAGGGAGAGAGAGAGAGAGAGAGAGAGAGAGAGAGAGAGAGAGACAGAGAAAGAGAGAGAGAGAGAAAGAAAGAGAGAGAATTGCAAGTCGCAAGCAAGGGGGCACTGCTGTCCGCGCGAGGCAGTTCGAAGGCATATTTCAAATCAAATTGCGTGGCGCGCTTGCCTCGGCAAGCAATGTGCCGCGACGCCAGGAGCTGCTCTGACGGCGCTTCCCGCGTCGCGGTGCACTGGCCCCCTCGGCGAGGCAATGTGAAATTTTGCAGTGGGCACTGATCGATAGGATGGGGATTCTGCGCCGCGCCCACGCGAGAAATATACAGATCTGGGGCGGGGTCCCGGAAATCGAAATAATGCACATTCGGTTGGCGAAGGGGAGCGGGCCAGGGTTCTGCGGGAGAGCCAATTGGAAATACGCAAATCCTGCAAAGGGCCCAGAGAGATCACATAACAATACGATGAAAGGCCTGGAAGGCAAAACTAATATGCTTCAAGGAAACGAGAGTGCACGCACCAGCGTCCAGAGACGGGGCGCCGGAGGGGCGGGGTGCGAGCGGCGGCCCCAGGCCCCTTGCCCTGCGCTTGCGAAGCGGGCTCGCTGACCCCCGCAATGTCCCTGGGCCGCATGCGCAATGGATCAAGGACCTGGCGGGCCGCCGCGCGCGCTGCGGCGCTGGCCGAGGCCGCGCGGGGGAGAGAACCAATGCGCGAGGGGGGCGCGGCGCCGCGCGCGCGCGACGGCCTTGGCCGATTCGGCGCGTCGAAATAAAATGCGCGACGCGCCAAGGCAGCCGCGGGCTCGTCAGCCTCCGCCCACCGCGCGCGGGGAATAACACATTTGCACGGAGTGGTGGGTGGGTGGGGGGGGGGGGCTGCCCAACTCTGCGCGACAAGAAACAGCGCGCGGCGGGCCGGGAGCGCCGCGCGCGGGGCGGCTCAAGCGAATCGCGGAGGGAACGACGCCGCGCGCGAGGGGCCTGGGCCGCCGCCATGGAGGCCCTTGCCCATGCGAACAGGATGCGGCAACGCGCGCGGGGGGCCAGGGAAGCCGCTTGCGCGGCGCCCTGGCCAACTCCGACCAAAGCAAACCAGATAGCGAAGGGGCGAGGCCGACGCGCCCAAGGCGCGGGGGGCGGTGTCGCCGCGGGCGGCGGCGGCCACCGAGCGCGCGGCAACGCTGGCCCGGTCTGCGCGGGGAACGCAACGCGCGCAGTGGCAGGGCCACGGCGCGCGACGACGCTGGCCGCTTCTGGAGGAGAGCATGCCACGCGCGCGGTGACTCGGCCGCCGCGCCCACAGCGGCCTTGCCCAATTCTGCAAGCTGAAACGCAGCGCGCGACAGGCAGGCCGCCGCGCTCCAAGCCCCCGTGCTCATTTTGAACGCATGGAGGAACCATGCGGCAGAGAGGGGGGGGGGGGGGGGGGGGGCGGCCGCCGCGCGCGCAGCGCCCCTGGCCAATCGCGCGCGACAGGACACCGCGCGCGCAGGAGCGTCTTCGCCGCTCGCAATGGGGCAAAGCGGGGGGGAAAGAAAAGGAGGCAAGGCGGCCGCTCGCGCGGCGGCCCTGGCCCATTCTGAACGGGCCAGCGCTATGCGCGAAGGGGCGGAGAAGGTCGCCGCGTGGCCGGCGGACCTGCTCCTTCCCAAATGGAACGCCCGAGCGCGGGAACGGGCATAGCCGCCGCCCGCGCGACAGCCCCAGCCAATTCTGGGTTTAAAAACGCGGCAGCGCGTCAGAAAGCTGCGCCGCCGCGCTCGCGGTGGCTCTTGCCAGTTCTGCACGGCAATGTAATCCAATGCGCGCAGGGGCGGGGCCGCACCTCGCGTGGCGGCCAAGCGTTGCAAAAACATCGCGGGCGAGCGGCGGTCGCGCGCGCGGCGGCTCTGGTCGATGCGCGCGAAGAAAACGCAACGCGCGGCAGGGGGGCAGAGCCGCCGCGCGCGCGTCGCCCGCGGCCAATCCTGAATGAACGGCTACGTCCGCAAGGGCGCAGATCTGCCGCGGCCCAATCTGCTTGAAAAGAACGCCACGCGCGCGGGCGCAAGGCCACCGCGCGCGCAGCGACCCTGGCCACCTCGGCTTAGAAAAACACAGCGCCCGAGTCAACGGGCCAGCTCTGCATGGGCACGGTCGCGGGGGCGTCATGTCCGAGCAGGCACGGCGGCCGCGCGCGTCGGCCCTGGCGCGCCCTGCGCGGGGCAGCGGGCGCGGCGGCTCCGGCCCCCTTCTGCGCGAACAAACTGGCACCAAGGGGCGGGCCCACAGCGCGCGAGGGGGCAGGGCGCGGCTCGGAGCGGGGGGCGTCGTCCTGCAAATGAGCAGCGCCATGCGCGAGGGGGCAGGAACGCGGCGCGCGGCGACAGCTGCAGCATCATATCATGTTGAACACTAACAACGCAAACGCCATGCGCGAAGCCGCGGGACCGCCCAGCGCGCGGCAACCCCTCGGCC